ATGATTAGTACGTTTGATGTGCAAGAAGGAGATAACACCAGTTTATAAGTTGATGATGCAAACATCATAACTGATCAATTTCATCAAAATGTTAAAAAAGGACAAATTTACAAAGACAAGAACCTGTTGTCTCTCGTTATGAAACAGTATTGCTGTTAGAGAAAAATATCAATATCGGGTTAATAAATCATTCCCAAGAAGGTTCGTCTGTATGTTTTCAAGTAAAAAACTATGTGATACCTATATAGTATATAAGTATGCTAAATCAGTATACTATGCAAGTATGGAATTGTATTGGTTTGTCTGTGTTTTTTATCAGTGATACTGGTATAGTATATAAGTATGCTATATTAGTATATTATGCGAGTATATAATTGTACTGGTTTGTCTTTGTTATTATCAGTAAAACATAATACCAATATAGTATATATGTATGCTAAATCAGTATACTATGTAAGTATAGAATTGTGCTGCTTTGTCTATGTTTTTTATCAACAAAATATAATACTGATACAGTATATAGGTATGCTATATGAGTATACTATGTGAGTATATAATTATACGGTTTTTTGTGTGTTTTTTATCAATAAAACATGATACATAACTGTATTTGCATTATAAATAGGTATACCCTTGAATGTGTGGATGAAAGATGCACTTGGAGACTTAAAGCGTCAAGCCTGCGAGCATCAAATCTTTTCAAAGTGACAGATTTTAATTCTGTCCACAATTGTTTATATGATAAGAGATTTTGTTCAAAAAAGTAAGTTGTCTCAGCTTTTGTTGCAGTTGTGGTACAAGATTAACTTGTTGACCTGAAAACCATATATACACCAACAGATATCTAGAGAGACATCCAAAAAGCATATGGTATGGACTTAAGCTACATGCAAGCATGGAGATCAAAAGAAAAAGCAATGCAATTGTTGAGAGGAACACCAAGAAAGTCATACAAGAAAATGCCAACATATCTTTATATATTAGAGTACGCTAACTTAGGATCAGTGACACAACTACACACTGAAGGTGATGGGAGCTTCTTGTATGCATTCATAGCTATATATGCATTGATTAGAGGATAGATTTATTGTAGGCCAACAGTTGTAGTTGATGAAAGTTTTTTAAAGTCAACATATAGAGGGACCATACTCACGGTTTCCACGCAAGACACAGAGGGTAAGAATACAATCCAATTACATTCAGTTAAAGAAACAAAATAGATTTTTAAATTTTATATGATACCAGTATGGTATACAAGTATACCAACAGAGTATATAATTATTTTGCTACATACCTGCACCTACCTATGACTATACTACTATATGAAATACTAAATTAATATTGTGTGTATAATCCAATTACATTCAGTTAAAGAAACGAAGAATATTTTCAAATATTATATGATACCAGTATGGTATACAAGTATACCAACAGAGTATATAATAATTTTGCTACATACCTGCACCTACCTGCACCTACCTATGACTATACTACTATATGAAATGCTAAATTAATATTGTGTATTGTAATTAATATTTTGTTCTTTGGGTTTATGGGACAAATTCTACCCCTCGCATATGCAATTGTTGATTCAGAAAATGATGCATCGTGGGAGTGGTTCTTCGTGTAGTTCAGAGAAACCTATGGACAAAGAGAGGGAATGTGCATTGTATCAGACAAGCATGATGGTATATGGAGAGCAACTTCAATTGTCTATCCAGAAGTCCCTCATTGTGTATGTATGTTCCATCCGTGGAACAACCTAAGATAAACTTCAGGAAGAGCTAAAAACAAATCAAAGAAGTATACTTTGCTTTAGCAAGAACATACACTGTTGAAGAATTCAACAAGTATATGGCAGAGTTAGAAGCTATTGATAGTAGAGTGAAAACATACCTGATGGATATTGGATATGATAAATGGTCCCGAGCGCATGCCAAGGCAAATAGAACCATAACCATGACATCGAATATTGCGGAATTAGTAAATGCAACAAACAAGCACGCAAGAGACCTCCCAGTTGTGAATTTGCTTGACTTTATGAAAACATTGATTCAAAAATGGAATTACACCAATCGGAAGGATGCAGTGGAATCATTTATGAAGATTGGTGCAATGTATGAAAAAATATTGGTAGATAATACTATCTTATCACAGACGATGACAGTATGCATTTTCAAAATCATATAAATACTGCATGTACTGTAGTTTTACTTTTGTACCATAGTGATTTCACTAAACAACTGAATATTATTATTTAAAAAATACTACTGCTTCATATAGCTAATGACTTTTCTTAATTAAAATTATACTAGGTGTTGCCATCAACTCAATTCTTACATTTAGTAATTGATGACCAAACAAGAAATGTGGTGCGCTTACATGAAAAAAACTGCACTTGTGGGAGGTTTCAGCTAGACGATATTCCATGTCCACATGCAATGGTAGTTATACAAAAATTCCATATGGACAAGTATTGCTCGGATTACCACAACATAGACTATTTGCTGAAAATATATGAGATACCAGTAAATCCTTTGTCTGATGAAACAATGTGGCAAATTTCAGAATATGTCTCTTCGCAGGTGGTACTACCACCAAAAGGAAAAATCAAATAAGGAAGACTTAAAAAGAAGAGAGGCATAAGAGGTTGGGAAGGAAATACAGTTACATGTGCACTATGCGGGAGAAAAGGACACAACCGGAGAACATACCGAAATATTCCAAAGAGAGATTGATATAAAGCTTCAATGTTTTTATAGAACTCGTATATCGTATAATCATATCATTTGAATTACAAAGAAATAAAATGTATTTCTTGCACTAGACATATATTTGGTATGATGATTCTTTGCCAAATTACTTTTTGACAACAAATTTATATGGCTACTTGTGTTTTCAATAAGCATCTGTTTATTTTCTATTTTAGTATATAAAAATGGGATGCATTTACATCTAGTTGCTGCAAGAAAAAAGATGCTAAAATATAAATGTGATACCCAAGTGGTATATCTGTATACCTTATTGGTATATTTGTATACCTTATTGATATCAAAATATGTGCAAAAATCGAAAGGGTGTCGCAAATGCAACATTTGTACATACATCGTTAATAAAATGGGCACACTTTGCAGCTCATATCTGTACTGAAGTTTAACAAATTGGAAGCCATTTACATGTAGTTATTGTACATCATCAGGTACATAAATACAAGGTGATACCCAAATGGTATATTTGTATACCTTACTAGTATATAGTTGTATTGCACTAGTATGTCTAAACCAAAATATGCGCAGAAATGCAAATGGTGCACCAAATACAACGTGATACCCAAAATGCACACGCTTTGCAACTCATGTAAGTACTTACATCTAGTTGCTGTAGGAAAAAAGTACTCAAATACAACGTGATACCTAAATGGTATATAGTTCTACTGCACTAATATACCTGAACCAAAATCTTTGCAGAATACAACTTGTGCAACAATACAAATTATGCACAGATTTTCTTAGATTCAACTACAACTAACAACTACTCTCATTATAATTTCAAAACCAGTTCACTATCAAAAAATATTTCTTCTCATTCAAATTAATGCTCGCCATGTTCTTCAACAAAATAACAACATAGTTCCTCTTTTTGAACGTCGTAACTCCCTTAAAAATACACCTCCAAAAATAATTTCTGTTGGTGTATTACAGTAAACTAACAATGCTCCTCCTACTACAAATGGCAGTAGGAGTAGGAACTGACAGTGCTGCTGTAACGACCATGTTCTAAACTAATGGCTTGACTTCAAGTGCTGGCAAAATTCTGTCTCCGAAAGGCACTCCTAATAAACCAATGACTTTATGGAAGAAGCCTAAGAAAAGCCAAATAAAACAAACTCAAGATACATTCCAATATTAAAATAGTTATAGCAACATATTGTACTATTACAATTGTATTCCTAGAAAACACTTTTAAAAGCTAGAATTTTTACAATCTAATATTGCAAAATGCCATACTTCACCAAAAACTATTAAAATCCTGCAAAGTTTTCATGCTACGATTAACTAAAACCAAAAAGAGACCTATACTACTTCTTGTGTTTCTTTCCACGAGTCTTTTTAGGTGCTACTGTAGCCTCAGATTCACTTGATTCGCCATGCAACTGCATGTTCCTCCCATAGTTCCACAACAGTATAGCAAACCTATCTCGAAGGCCATCCACATCAAAATTGGCAACAGGGATTGGAAGATCTTCAATAATTACTCAGCAAAGCATGAAACATATACTCCACATTCTCTGAAATAAAACAAATGAATAGAATATAAAAATCGATTAAAAGTGAAAAATGTTAATATGAATGAGGAAAACAAAGTAAAAAAAAGTAACTATTCTTACGAATTTTGATGTGTTGGCAGATTTGTAATCAGTTCAATCTCAAAAGGATCAGTCAACTGCTTTCTCACGTGCAAACCATTTTGTACTACAATGTTACTTCTTTGGTTATAAAATTCAATGCTAACTAGAAACAGGGAGATCAACACAGCATATGCCTCTGCCACCTTTTGAATAGTTTTTTTGTGCTTTCGACTACGTAGCGAGTCATAAGTAAAAACATCTCTTGTGAAATGATACACACCCCAATATCCAATGCCACTTTTCTGCCAAATTAATTGGAAAGAGGACATGATCAATTTGGTGACATGGAGTGTTGCAATGCATCCTAAATCCTTTCATGTACTCTATGATATCGTCCGATCTATCAATCAAATGATCTTGTTTCCACCTTTTAAAATTCTGTGAAAACTCTTTGAATGATATTATTAAAAAGAGTATCTGTAGTTGTGACTTTGGTTGGCATATTAATTCCATATTTCGTCTTCTTCCTAAGATAGTAGAATATAATATTCAAGTGCTGCAAAAAATAGAGGAAGAAAACATGACTAACACTAACAATATGAATGAACTACTATAACAACCAAAAATAAAAAAGCAGTACAAATACCGAACTAGACAGCAGCCTGCCAGAATAGGTTTAGGTATGGAAAAACGTCTTGTCATCAATCTGTTCAACTTTGAAGTCAAAACAAGGGTCCAACTTTTGATCACCAGGTAAATACATTTCCCTATTTCGTATAAAAGAAGATATGGATAAGAAATATAACAACAAAAATTAAGAAAATATGAAAATAAAAGTACATGGAAACGAATACGCACTCTCCCAATTGCATGTTTGCTTCGACAAAGTTTGAGAATGCAGTCGTAAGCTTATAATCAACAGCCACTGAAATGTCATTTACAAATGAAAATCTTCCTTTGATAACCTTCGAGGATCCCCCAACTGCACTAACACCATATTTCCAGTCATTCATATATGACGACTATTTTACAACTACAGGGCACCTTCTCCGTGTGAAAACTGCAGGAGTAGTTTCAACATCTGTTTGTTTCTGGACAATACTTCTTGATACCGACTGATCAGGTTTAGACTTATTTACATCACAAGTTGTCAGTTCATTTCTAGATTGATTTACATTATATCTCCTTCCTTGTGTAATGGCAGCAATTAGATCAAGTTGAGAATCAGTATATTCAAAATCAGAATCCAAGTGAAGATCACCCCCGTGTCGACGTGGAGCATAAATTAGAAAATGCTAGTGAATAAATAAATATACAAAGTTAAGAAATTTTTAAAAAATGATGAAAAGTTATATATAGAAGACATTACCAGAAGGCAAATTCACATTACTGTCACCAACATCCACTTGACCAATACCATCAACCCGAGATGCTGAACACATAAAAGCATTATCAGCATCACTACTTAAATAAAAAAAAACTATCAAAAACCTCTCATTTACATACTAACTTCAAAATTAGTAACATCAACATCGTACCATGTGGAGCAGTATTAGACTCAATAACAACATTTGCTCGTGTTTGTGCAGGGATTCCTAATGGAAACGGAGCAAGTCCCGACTTTTTAACATCATGAGATGACTGCTTATATGTTGCTTGTTGTGTAATGACGATGATTTGATCAATTGCAGATGCAAACATTTCAAAGTTAGAATCCAAGCCAAGATTATGCTCATTTACGAATGGGGCTGAAAAATGTTTTAAAAAAAGGTTAGGGAACGCACAAATACATAGAGTTAAATAAATAAAAAAAGAATAAAAAAATTACATACACAACATTTTACCAGAACGCAAATCATCATTAACTACGCCATGACTTGCTGTGATGTTCTTCACATTGACACCAATGACACCTCCATCTCGACCAACCCCATCAAAATCAGACACTAAACATATAAAAGTATAATCAAGAGTAATATTTTCAAAAAACAACAGCTAAAAAGAAAATCAAATTTGTGATTTACATACTAGAAGGCGCTTTGGGCATGCTATCTCCAATAACTATAGGATCATTCCCAACGTGGCACCTTTCAAACTGGTCATAATCATTATGCATCTCACGAAAGTCAGGATCATTATCCTGTTGCTTATGCTGAAAATTAGAAACTAACAATTTTATTATTATGTATATTACAAGAATACTATGTGCACTAAAAGTAAAGAATGGAATAGTATCCTATAAGCATATATTGCATATTTGAACAATATACTATAACATTATATTATATAAAATATCAATACTACTGAATTTCCCTCTGGTTTCATTGACTGCCTACCAATAGCTGCAAACACCTCCTCAAACTTGGTCTCTACAAAAAGCTTCAAACTTTGTAACTCCTCCATTACCTCAGCATTGGTAGGTTGGGAATTACCTCCAGTACTTTCGTGCATACTTTGTGTCTTTAGCAATTGAGTGCCAAAAACCTGAAAGCTATCAGGCTGACTGTCAGTGCACTCAACTTCAATTTCAAAGTTTAGACAACACACATCAAATAGTTTCTTCTCATCATCAGTTGGGGTGATGTTCTTTAGCTACAATTATTAAACACACTAGTTAGAAATAGAAATGATAATAAAGTATGGAAAGATAAAAGATCCTTATTACCATATGATACCAATATAGTATACATGTATACCAACAAAGTATATCACTGATCTGGAATATTGCTACAACTAACTGTGACTAAACTATTGTACCAAAAATATTAAAAGATGCAATAAAAGTATGAGAAAATTAAAAGTATAAGTACCAATAAAACTATAAGTAGAAGAAAAGATCCCTATTACCATACGATACTAATATGTTATATATGTATACCAACAGAGAATATCATTGATCTGGGATATTTCTACAACTACCCATGACTAAAATACTATACAAAAAATATTAAAAGATGCAATAAAAGAATGCGAAAATTAAAAGTATAAGTAGCAATAAAAGTACAAGTAGCAGAATGATCCCTATTACCATATGATACCAATATGGTATACATGTATACCAACATAGAATATCATTGACCCGGGATATTGCTACGGCTACCCGTGACTAAACTCATGTACCAAAACATTAAGAGAGGAAATAAAACTATGAGAAAATTACTTGCTCGCGTTGCAAGCTAGATATTCGCAAAGCAACTCGTTCATGCAGTATTTGACCCATGGCTACCCAATTCAAAATTCGTGGAAGTTTGTTTCCAATATGATCAGCAAAGTGACCCTCCAAACTTGGGAAACATTCATACAACCAAATCTGTAAAGCCAACGGGAAGTCACTGAGTCTATAAAAAGAAGGCTTATCTTGAAACTTGTTGGAACACGAGTCGATTGTAGCGTTATAAACATCTATACCCCAGAAAAAATTATTAAAATCACCGCACTCGACCAAGTCAATATAAGACCATAAAATAACCTTTATTTTGAGTTGAGAAAGTAAGAAGTTGTTCACAAAATAAAGAACTGCTATCTTCAACGCATCATCATCTATTTCCTATTTCTTCTTCGTAAAACAGTCTGCTAGTTGGGCCAATGTCACGGATGCAGTCCCAAAATATTTTGAAATCAACCTATTTTCTGCTATGCTCTCTATGCTTGTATTACTCTTACATTTCAGCCCAGTAACAAGTGCAAATTCATCCAAACCAAAGCGCAACCTAGAACCAATCACTACAAACCACATCTCATTTTTCACCTCATGATGTACTTCTCTAATAAGCAAATGGTGCATAGCCCGAATCTGCACAATAAGTGGTGGCAGATTCAAAAAATAGCCAAAACATATTTTCTTAAACAACAGAAGTTGCCTCTTTGATAAATTCTCTTTCAATTGACGAATAACATAGCAGTTGGTATCCCAATCAACCTTTGGTTTATAATCTAAGTCCATAGGCACAAGAAAATCCCAACACTGCAAAACATGTTCATATAAAATAATTTCAGAAATAGAATTCACTTAAAATGCAACTAAACCATCCAAAAATATTACAACTACCATACGATACCAACACGACATATAACTATACTACCAGGGTATACAATTCTACTGGCTAATTTCCGACAACTATAAATGACTATACTACTATTACATAACAGATAGGAATAAAGAGAAAAAGCAAAAAAGGTATGCAGCTATAAAGTATTTTCAAGATACTGTACGATATTACCATTATTAAAGGAAAAACAAATAGCGATGACAGCCAAAAAAGGATCCAGAAGCATATGATAGTATATAGCTATACTAACAGGGTAAATAATTATACGGGATTGTTCCAACAACTGTCTATAACTATAAAAACTATCACATAACACACATACACTGTGTCTATAGGCACAAAAGAAATCTCAACAATGCAAAACATGATTATATAAATTATTTAAGAAATAGAATTCACTTAAAATTAACACAACTGATTATAACTATAATATAATACAAAAGTATAACATGAAATCAAAAAATAACAATGTACTATACATTCAAAATCTCACAGATCATAATTTTAAGAAAATTACCTTCTTTGGTGCGACGCTAATTTTTTTCTTCTTTAACTGAGAATCATCGCTACAATCAACATCTATTGGTTGAGTCTCTGTTTTAGGTAGGGATTCATGTCGGCTTTTCCCTAACTCAGAATCCTCAACAACTTTACCTTTTCCCTTATTAGTCATAGGAACACCTCCTATGACTGGTTCGTAATTTATGTCGGGTAGTGACTGGTATGGAGTTTCATCGATTGACGAAGCATTAATATTGTTACCTTTTTCACCCTCTAATCGTACATTTTCAGTTGTGTTTTCAACATGACTACTGCTAGGGTTACGACTAAACACAGACTGAGAATCAGAAAATAAGGAAAAACTTGGATCGGACATGGTTGAGGCAACGGATTCAGCAACTACTTGTGTTGGAGAATGATGTTGTCCACGACGCCACCATCTACGCGCACAATGCTTCCGACCCATAGAGAAAACAACAACCCATAGACATTAATTCATAAAAGTACAAAGAAAAACACAAAAATTCTATGATTTTTAAAACCCACTTTCACTAAAATGTACTTCCAGAAGAAAACATTTCACCCAAAAATAGGCACTAGACGAAGAGATAGAACGGAATCGAAAGAAAAAATTTAAAACTCGAATCTGGATGACATATGCGTTCTCATGGGTTGACTATGGAGATTTGGAAACTGTTCTCTAGTTTAGTGTTAACTGTTAAAGGACGAAGACAAGCGTTAAAGACGGTGGGTAGCTTGGGCCGGGTGAAATAGGTGGGCTGGATTCTTTAGTCTAGTGTAAAGAACGAAGATAAGGCTTTAAAGACAGTGGGTAGCTTGGGCCAGGTGAAATATGTGGGCCAAGTAAATGAATTAGACCGCATGGGTAGGAATAGTAAATAGTTTGAGCATGTGTATTAAAAAATAAATAGTTTAGGCTTAATAGGTATAAAGTGAGATTTTCTCATAAAAATTAAGATTGTCCATTTTCAAGGTCATTGGTTGCCTGATGTTTGGACTTAGGCCACCCCAGCCCCATGAAACCAGCAGGCTGACTGGAGCTGGGTTAGTAAGCCTTTATTTTAAATGGGCCTTAACATTTTTAGCTCAACCTTATCGAACCAGCGAGCCAGTAGGAGGGTTGGCCTCATGACCTCAACTCATTTTCAAATAGGAGAAGATGGCAAAACGACAAAGTAGCTGGAAATTAAGGAAAAAGGCAAAAGAATGTTTTCACTCCTAGGAAACTCGTTCAACCATCAAAAATCGAAAACCTGCCCAACAGCTAAATTTCCAAATTCAGAAAATAAAAATTATGCCTGTAAAGTAAAATTTAAGATCTATGGCTAGTTTAATTTAGTTGAACTGACAGGATTCACCACACTATATGATTCCTCCAAGCGATCATGTGATAGTAAACTGTTGATCACTAGCTAGATACTTACCGAAAATAAATTTAACAGGATCAATTACAGAAGGCATAGAACTAGGTACAGAAAAAAGAGTCAAATACAAGTCCAGTTACGCATGTATTAAAGAAAAGTTCAGATAACCAAAGAATGTGGTGCAGTAGATGTGACTGTTCCTCCCTTAACCAGAGGTCTCGGGTTCGAGCTCTGGATATGAAAAATCCTTGGCAAGGAGCGCTTCCCCCCGAATGTGGTCCTACGCGGCGCGAATCCGGCTATAGTCGGACTCCAATGCGGGTACCGGACACCGGGTGAGAAACAAAAAAAAAGAAAAGTTCAGAAGGTTGAAATATAAAATGAGGGAAATGAAATACAACAATAAATATGTTATACGAAAATTGTCGGAGTCTTTCTTTAGCATGAATAACCATAACTATGTCTTCCTCCTGGCCATTGATGCAGAATTACCATCAAATAGTTCATCAATCAATGTTTCAATGTCCTCTGGCTGATACTTTACATACTTCTCCGCTTGCTTTCCATTGTCCAAATACTGTCTAAACCTCCCAAAAAATGACCTATAAGCTGGAATTACCAAAGCTGATATCGAAACACGAAGCTCTGATTGAAGCTGCTCGTCACTTACAACCCAAGTGCTTTGACTCCTGTGTATTTCATCAAACATTGTATTGAAATTCTTGAATCTTTCTTTCACTGTCGTCTTCACTACTTTCCCATGGACTTGCATTCCGTCATGGCTTAGGATTTGGAGTACCTTACCCCATGTTTCCCTTTGGTAATTCTTGTGGTATTGTCTCACGATCGTTGATCTTCTCCTACACCACGTGTCGCCCATCACTTGGTGTATCTCCGCGGACCCTTTAACTTTTTGTAAGATATACCTACCATTGTTCATTAAGAAAATGTGGCGCAACGCAGGGTCTCTGTACAGGTTTGATTTAGCTTCAAGATTTGTATCCAAAAGGTCCATTATTGTGACTAACTGTATTGAGAACGGCGTTGTCCCGGCTACTGTTTCAGAACCGTGGGGGCTTTCGTTCTCTGTTTCTACCTCCAATGTTGGTTTCAATTTGGCAGGGGAATTGGATTCCTCCAATTTTACATGTTGCTGGAAAATATGCTCTAGGGTGCCTTTGTACTCGCATGCA